GACCAAATTATGTTGAGGAAACGATGGTCGTGTGCGTCAGTTTTGTGGACCAAAATTGCTCCTGTATTTGAGAAGGAATTAGTACATGTTGATTCTCGTCATACCGTGCATGTACCAAGAAGAATATACAATAAAAGGTTCAGATCGGATGCTAATGAGGCACCGAAGCCAAAAGATGTAATTCCTATATTTCATACACCTCCAGAGAAGAGGCAAAATTTAATGATGTTTTCTCATACTACTACTTGCATGCATGTAGTCATAATGACACTGTGTTACTTTCTTCTCATTCATTCGTTGCATGCATGCGGGCGCATTAATGATTACAGTTAACAAGAAGAAAAGTTGACGTGTAAAGTAATCATTAAATTTTACCTAGGTACCTGTAATTTGAGTTTGTGGTCTTGTATAAGGGAATGGAGGGAGTACAATTTTAAATGTTTTAAAAAAAATCTGAAAAAAATTATGGATGTTCAAATTAATTACATGAATGTACAATCCCTAAAAATTCAAATGAAAGTTTGAAATACACATTGAGAAACCAAAAAGATAAATTCAGCATGATGTTACACTATTCACATCCGGATTCTATCTTTTTTTGATTCTCCATGTGCATATTGAATTTGGACCTGAATTTTATAGGGTTTATAGGAACGCTCCTTGTGAGTATTCAGAAGTTTTTGAAATATTTGAAATTGTTTTTTTAAATGGTATTCAAGAGGTGGTATCACCTGATACTCTCCCCCTCTCCCTTGCTCCTTTGGCTTGTGTATTTGATGCAAGCAAAGCACAACAAGGTCGAGGACGAGGGCGGGGCTGTGCTACTCTTGGAGTAATCCATTGACCTGCATGCGCCCGTGCTACTTGGGTTAAGTAGTTTAAGCGGATAAAATAGGGACACCTCCGGCGATCGTAGACCAGCTACTGAAATCGTTCGTATGACAAAAGCCCCAGCGCAAACCCCTCACTTACACGACAAACCATAGTTGGACCGGGAAACCCTAATTTCATGCACTAAGGGGCTATTTGGGTAGCAACTTTATAGGAAACTAGTTCTCGTTCAATTCGATTTCTGGTCTGTGAATGTTGGACGAAAGCCATGGTATGCCATTGAAATATATGATGTTGTTTCCTTATATTTTCTCAACCAAACAAGGATTAGTATTTAGTTGCCTTAACAAAACAAAAAAAAACTAGTTTCCCTTTCTCCTAAAACTGATTTTGTAAAATCTCTCGTATAAATATTGAAGCCCAAACAACCACTAAGGGCATCTCCAACAATGCTGACACTAAAACCGCCCGTATCTGTTCGGACCATGCGGTCCGGACGTGATTTGCCATCCAACGCGGTACCCCATCGATCCGCAGACTGGTACAGATGTTTGTTTCCCGCAAACTGAAGGTAAACCAGAGGTACTTCGCGGGCGTTTGGGTAGCTTCCACGCACACATCCGTTAACCTGGTCCCACCCAGAACCCTCTTCCTCGCCCGCGCCATTTCCCGTGCGAAGTTTGTTGCGCATTCATCCCGCTCCAAAGCGTCAGCGCCACATTCATGCTAGCCCAAAGCGAACGTGACCTCTTACTGGTGCAGACATTGAAATGGCGCACTAGCCGAGAGCGCCACCGGAAAGAAAGAAGAGGACGCGGTGGGGTTATGAATG